TCGTTTTGCAGCGAGCTTTAATCGCTTCTTCGTACTCAAATCGCAAGTCAAGCCATCTCGTCATGCCCTCATGAGAGACATTGGCCACTTTAGGCGCAGTGACAAAGGTGAATATCGGCTGCGGTACCGTCGGGTGGTTGCCGACCAAAACACTACTCGTAGCACCACCACTCTGCATGGCAGTTGACATGTTAGGCGCGCCATTGGCCTGACGACCTTCTCCTCCACCTGTCGTTGCTGCTCGCCGTCCTCTTGCTGCTCTTCCTTGGCCCCTACCCCGCGCTTGGCCTCGATTCCCCGTCGCAGTCGACTCTTGGGTGACTTCATGGGTTCTAGCCGCTTGCTCTTCTTGTACCGAGCGTGATGCTTGTCTAGGCCGAAGTGTTCGCTGCGTCGTAGTCGTACTTGCTGCCGTCGCAGTCGTACTTGCAGTCGTCGCAGCGTTGCTCACTGAAGCGTCGTTAACGGTAGGTGTTGTTGACATTTTCGTCGTCGAACCTTGAATAACTAAAGTTAACTTTGTAGTCGGTCCACAGAACACGTATTAGGGAAGCTGGTGGCTTCCTAGGATCCCTTGCTTGTATTGGTGCTGATTCACAATGAGGTGTCTGGCTAACCTGACAGTGCTCTGTCCAAGCATGCTCTCAAGCTTCGTCCTCTAGAGGTCCTAGCTACTCTACCACCAGCTCGGCTTCGGAATCTTATCCTACACCCAGTGAGTGAGCCATGTGTTGTACATGAACCCACTACATAAATAAAAAAGCTTCTATTGCTTGCGACAGCTAAATTCACCAGTGACATTTTATCATAGCTGTAAGGGGTTTAGGAGTTGCCATTACTGGACCGCGTGGGCCACGGTGCGAGGATCTCCAATAAAAGCCAACAAAGATGGTGGAGATAGCAAAGACGAGTGCCAAGATGACACAGTTGCTGATTGTAAATTCTAGAGTGTACCCTTTCGAAGAATGCGCTGGTCAAGAAAAACTGTTCTTTACGATGACGTTGTACGGCGCGCATTCGTTAAAGCAATACCCTCATGAAAGCGTCGTTGCTTACGGGAGATTGGAGCTTAACAGAATTGCTGACAACTGGTAGAGATTTATTGGGATTCACCCATTGATTTATTTTAACTTCGAAAAAGAGATTTGTTTCACCCAGTTTTCAAGCCGCATTCACTGGGTGAATAAGTTTTTATGTTACCCGTGGCCGCCATTCCGACAAAACAACGCCGATTTTTGCGCCCCAGTTGACCGGAATGACGCACATAAAAGACGTGCTCGTCGGCTGTGAAGCATACTTAGTGCCGTATCGGGAATCACAGAAGCTGGAAGACCTGTAGACGCACGTTGGACTTGAACATCGTCTAGCTGCAGCTCGATAGATCCGGTGGATCCATTCGCTATGGGGAGGTAGTTCACAAGAACCCCGACGGCATAAATTCCCGGATCAAGAACGCTAATCAAAGTCTCGTCGTCACTAAGGGTAAACCCCTCGATGTTTACCTCCTTCCAATGCAGCTTCGAGTCCTTCAAGGCCCCACTTTCAGGGTACAGGAGACAGCTGTTGTTGCTTGCATCGACCTCGTTACGCAGCTTCTGTAGCTCTTTTTGTTGGTCCTTCAGCTTCGACTCCAGTATGTCAATCCGTTCAACAGTAATGGGCTGAAGATCGAACGCGTAAAAGATATTACGAGCTGAACGAAGCAGACGGATCTTCAAGCTCAACTCAAGTCAAAGCTTTCCTTCTTTTCGCGAGGTAAGCTTTCGTTCAGCATCGTCATCCTCCCCCAGCGGACAATCCAGACACTGCTTAAAGCACTAAATTAATCACAAATATTAGTAGATATAATACAGGACCCCACTAGCCTCACCGACACATAGTCTGCTGCAGAGGCGTCCACAAAGACGTTAGCAGAAGTGACGTAGTCCGTCTTGCTCAGAAATCCGGTTTGCCTGTTTGAACATGCCACATTGATGCTTAGATGCTAGCTGTGCTGAGACTAGAGGCTCTACAACTTACCACTGCTTCTTGTTCGAACGCTCCTCAAGCCAAATGTTCACCTTTTCGTCCTTCAACGAGATGATATAACGGTAGCTTGCCGTTGAGGGCGATTTGAACGCCGTCAATCCCTCCACCTGACAATCGGATAGCCTTTCCATAAGTATGCACTGAATTGGTCACAACTTGGCAAGTTTTCGTACCCGATGTAGCTTTCGTTTCCATAAATTTACCCTGTCGCTCTATGGGAAACCGCGAAGTCTAAGTCTAAATGTGAAGCGAGAAACTAGGGTGCTTATCTGAGGTTCTCTCATGCAGCCAATGAATAACATCTACACACACGAATGGCACGCTGTAAAGCATCAAAGCTTGCCTTAAGGAAATCAAAGGACTGCACCAGCTTACCAATTTTCGCGTACCCTTCCAACTGTACTGTGGAATCTTCTTCCACCCCACCGCTAATAAGTCACATTTTCTTCATTAAAGTTAGTACTCTCTCCCAGGGATCGGAAAATAAAATAAAAAATTAGATTGCAAAACGTTCTATGGCGTAGTAATCATTTCAGTATGCATTTCCATTAATAAATTATTGTTTTGAAAAAAATCAAAATAATGTTTTACTGTCTGTATTTGACTAAATATATGTATGCCTTGGAAAACTAGACCTTCTAGTAATAATCATTGCAATACGACTAGGCTCAATAGTCAATTGTTTTAGTGGAAAATACCGCAAATATTGTTTCAAGTTATTTTTTTCTGATCCCTGCCCTCTGTCATGCCACTTGGCAAGATTAAAGAGCAGTTACTATCTGCTGAACTGAGTTAAGCTCCGATGCGAACCGCCGTCAAATACGCCGACGTTTTAGGGGTAAACGTTGTGTTCGAGCAAACCACACTGATTTGTGCGCTCTTGTCTATTTGAGAGATGCACATAAGCGACGTGTTGGCCTGGTAAGAAACATAGCCCCCGTACCCATTAAACCTTCCGAAAACACCCGTTTTTGCAGATTGAATTTGGACATTGTTCATTTCCACCACGATAGACGCTGAGTCATTATCCAACGGGGTGTGGCTCATAAGAACCCCCAAGATGTAAGTCCCCGGAACAAGAACGGTAATCGAAGTTTTAATGTCATCGAGACAAAAGAAGTCCGAGCTCAAATCCTTCCACTGCAGCTTTTCTTCCACCAAAGCTTCACTTTCAGCGCACAAGAAAACGTTGCTCTCCGCATCGACCTTGGCACGCATCTTTAGCAATTCTTCTTGTTGGTCCTTCAATTTCGACTCCAGGATATCAATCCGTTCAACAGATAAGGGCTGGAGCTTGAAAGTGTAGCAGATCTTGCGAGCTGAACGAAGCAGACGGATCTTCAACATCAACTCGAGCTGAAGTGTCCCGCCGTTCTGCGGGGTAAGCTTTCGTTCCGCATCTTCGTCCTCTCCCAGCTGACAATCGAGGCACTCCCTGAAGCACTGCAGTAAAACAATACCACAAAATGTCAGCAAGATTTGTTGCATTATTCGATTAGTCTGTAGCCCCACCGATGTATAATCTGGCGCAGACGCGTCAACAAAAGCGTTAGCAGCGGTGATGTAGTTCTCCTTGCTCAAATATCCAGTTTACCTATTTTGCACACGACCGCGATAAGTTGGTGAGTCAGCCGTGAAAACATTTTTACATCCGATTGTTTTATCAAGTAGCTTGCCATTGCTTCTTGCTCGAGCGGTCCTCCAGCCAAATGTTCACCTTTTCACCCTTAAGAGAAATGACGTATCGGAAGTTCGACGATGGGAACGTCGTCCAACCCTCCACCTGACAGTCGGGTGGACTTTCCATTATCAAAGTGGCAGGAGAACAGGAACAGAGGCGGCCACGACTTGGTAAGTTGACGAATGTGCTTGTACACACGGTCATTCACACCCACGAGTTTGCACTTTCGCTTAATGGGAGACTGCGAAGGAATTGTAACTGTCGCTCAACGGGAGAGAGATGAAGCGCTAGAAACTTCTTTGGCTAACGCTCTCAAATCGACAAATAAATGCAGGGCAGAAATGTTAATGAACTCAAGCGTGAGGTCTTACAAAAAGCAGGATAAAATATCATAATAGCAATAAGGTTCGTATTTGATGCACGGAATAGCTTATTACTTGACCTGAAATATTGTGATGGTTATTACTGTTTCCGATGACCTAAAATACAGTTTACATTGTTTTTCCATTCCCTGCCGCAAAATATATATTACCTGGTGATACTCGATGATTGCTCTTAACCAGCACCTCAGGTCTAACAGTAATATATGTAACTCTAGCTTTCCCGACATGATTACTATTAATATACACTGTATCCTGTTCGCTAAGATAAGGCACTTCATGCCCAAAAGCCACATTTTCTATCCGAATTCCATCCGAAAGAATGCTTGGGTGAGAAGTGCCTACTCGTGTACATCGAAATTACGGGTGCTTTGTCAGAGAAGTGGTATGTACCATCAAAATTAGTGTGAGAAGGGCTCTCAGAAAGCGTAATAGCCTTCGACAGATTCATCGGGTAAAAAATCCTTTATAACATCGGAAAACGGTTTTACCAGGATGAGTGCTGTGGTCTCCATAACAGGTACAGATTCCGAAGAGAATCCTGGCGTATTCGAAAGGACAAAAAGCGGGTTATTTAAAAAAACAGTGTGTGACTGTAACGCCACTCACCACTCGCCCGAAATTCCAACGAGAAGAAGACTGTATCCTCGACGGAAATGACCAATTCCAGGACCATATGCAAAAAGAAGTGCTCCTCCAAGCTGCCAATGCGGTATTCTTGTCCACGGAGAATGTTTTACGAATGCGATTGCCACTAACTTGACAGCATTCAACCAACGGTCGATAAAAATACTCATTTATGAAATAAAAAAACAAGTGACTTTTTGGCTCTAATGCAAAAAAGTATTAGCACCAGCTCCTCAATTTTTATTAGCTTACCTTGATATCCATATATTGCTACGAAGCCCTTCTTAAAAGAAGGTAGCCGCGACGTAGTCATCCGGACTTTTGCTCCGTTCCAAACTTTTCTTCAATTCGCTGACAGCCTTGACGAAATCCGACACGGGGGCTTCTTTCTTTCTGTACGCCGCGCACGGCAAGAATCTGTTCGTGATCGATTTCCACTGCGGGATTCCGATCACTTGATCACCCGAGTCCAAGTATTGCAACAACGTGTAGCAACGAGGATGGCCCTGAACGCCAAAATTGGCTCGGAAGAGATCCGTATAGTCGACAACGCCGCCAAGACAGTCTTCTTGGTACTGACACATGACCATCTCCATCTGTTCCTTGGCTGCTGCTTCTTCGAAGCCGACGATGCGAGCAGCTTCGTACAACGCAATATTCCAGCGCTTGACCTTCTCATCATACGACGTTCCTGGCTCAATAATTGGGTAAAGATTCCCTCTATCTCTACCGCGAGGCCAGTGTTGACGCTCATCAGCGAGTAAAGTAGTAGAAGTAGCGGAGACTTGAGTAGAGGCCCAGCACTTTTCGTAAAAAGTAGCGAGCCCACCACTTAGCGCGTATGTGTAACTGTAGTTCCCGAGATCTTTAGCGTCAACGTAGTCTGCGTACTTGTAAGGTAAATCTTTGAAAAATGGGTACAACATGTTCTTGGGGTCCTGCCACACATTGACGACCGTTTTTCCGTCGTTAGCGAACCCTCGAATGGTGATATTGTCTGCGGTGGAGTAGGACCCGGAAGTTCTCCTCGCACAACTATTGAACCAACGCGAGTCATTGCCCTTGGCTCCTGCGGTAAGTAAACTATTTTCTCCTCCTAGTTGACACTTGAGATAAATTACTTGCAATAAATCTACCAACGCGTGATGCAGATAGAAGATTGGATCAGCTGGAGACTGGAAATACGCCATTACCCCGCCAAGAGCGCTGTGAATCGTGTCTTGTAAAATAAAAATGTAAGAAATATTAAAAAAAAAAATTCTGGGCAAAATAACTTACTGTGGACTCCACGTTCGACTTGGGTGGTAAATGTGTAGGAGTTGTTCGACGAGAAGATCTGCTGATACACTGAAGTGAAGGAGGCCGAGTCTGGGTACGCGGTGCTGGACATTGCGGTCCTTGTTTTACGAGTGATACACTTTGCGCAGCCCGTATTATTCCCGCAAAACTGGGAAAGAGGGAACCGATTCATACAGGTTGTGGCAGAAGATGACGGCGAAGAAGTGACCGGTATGCTGACGTTGTAGATGATCAAATTCTTACTGGTGCCCGCCATATCACCGCTGGAATCGGCGAGAAACGGGGAACAGCTCAGGAGATTCGTGCAGGTTCCAGTCGAACGCCGGGCTCTAGCCGACACATGGTCCCAGTACGGGAGCGTAAGGCATTGGAACTTTGGATCCAAGCTGCGAAGCATGTTCTCGTATCCTAGCAGCATGATACGGTGCCAGTAAATGAACATACAGTTGCCGTGGGCCTCCTTCTCGGACAAATATTCTGTGTGGATCTGGATGAACTTTTGGTGGAATCCCTTGTCCATGGCGACGCCGATGGCTTCCAAGTACAGACTTTTCTCGGTTGCATTGTACATTTCCCAAGAGCGACGGACGCGAGGATTGGCGCAGTTGGTGCCCACTTGTTGGCCATGGGTGGTGGAGAAAAGGAGACAGTTGAAGACGGTCACCAACGAAGAAAAGAAGAACGATTTGCGCTTGATTCGCGCCATTTTCGACGGCAAGTGCTTGACGTGTATCAGGAAGATCGCAGAGTGACCAGCATATATGACAAGCGAAGCAAGGGACGCCGATTAGCGGTGAGGAGGCCGCTGTAGAAGATCTTGGATCGCACATGAAAGGTCGCGTATCTTGGTACGTGGGTGGGATAAATGAATCTGTTTTTTTTTTCATTACAAGCTCTGATTCAGCCCAACCCTCTTTTAAAAACCGAAGTCAAATGACCTGCGCCATGAAAATACACAGCTATTTAACCCAAACGAGCTGCATTAAGAGAAGCAAAGCTTTGAGCTGATCGCTCGGCCACAGAAGTCCGGCAATAATAAATAACGATCGCATTACTCAACCTGAAGTGGCTACATCTTCTGCATATCTTCAACAAAGTTCTATCTGTTTGTAGAGAACTTCGAATCGAGGACGTGCCATCGAAGCTCGATGGCACGTCTCCTCGACAAAACTAAAATTTGTGCTCTATTCTCATTTTGTATGAACAAATGTGTCCACCCTCAGATTTGGTATGGAGCTGAATTCGTGACTTATTATCTTTTGTGAATTTTTATCGAGTACTAAATTTATAAGTTGTATATTGTCTTTTCTCGCTATGATTTTTCGTTTGGGGTGAGTATCGAAACTGTGGTATGTGTGCCTGCGGGACGTTTGGAGAGATCCCAAGAGTAAAAGTACAGTTTAGTCCTGTCCACACTTCACAGTAATGCTGCGTTCATCTGTGAACTCTATCCTACAAGAACACCAAATGAGCTACCGGTACTGTATCATGCGGCGCGACTTCACTTTGTGTTTCTCTCTTCGTCCCTCAAGTCTCGTAAGCCAAATATGAAGCTCTTCCTTCCCTTCGTGGCTCTTGTAGCTGTCTCGACCCTCTCAGCAGCTGAGGTCATAGACGAAATCGGAGCTGGAGGCACGTGCAGCGGACGCAACGCACGTGTCGCCCCTCCCAAAGGTGCCATCGTCGTTGACGCCACTGGTGACTTTGACGGCAGCTACGAGACCCTATCGAAGGGTGTAGAGAGCTTGGACGTCACTTCAACGGACGTGCAGACCATCTTCGTCATGCCGGGTATCTACGAAGAGCAGGTGCTCGTTCCTAGACTAGCAGGCGCTTTGGTGCTGCAGGGCTCGACGTGTGATGCGAGATCATACGAAGACAACGAGGTCACGATTACTCAGGCCACAGCGCAGAAGGATCTCCCGCGGGAGTTGACTAAAGGACGTAATGATCTCACCAGTACAATGCGCTTCAAGGCCAGTAATGTGACAGTGTACAATCTCAACATTGCCAACACTGCTGGCAACGTTGGTCAAGCTGTGGCAGCTACGGTTGACGGAACGGACTATGGTTTCTACGGGTGCAACTTCACGGGATATCAGGACACGTTGTACGCTAACAAAGGACGGCAACTGTACGCACAGTCGTACATCAGTGGAGCCGTGGACTTCGTCTTTGGGTCCAAGGCTGTGGCCTGGTTCGAGAGCTGCGACATTGAGACGGTTGGCAAGGGCTGTATCACTGCTAACGGCCGTAGCACTGAAGATGGCCCGTCCTACTATGTGTTCAATGACGCTCGAGTGTACGGCTCCAACCCCAAGGGCACGTCCTTCCTCGGTCGTCCCTGGCGTCCATTCGCTCGCGTAGTGTGGCAGAACAGCGAGCTGAGCGACGTCATCAATCCTCTGGGCTGGTCTGCGTGGGACGCCACATCTGGCACGAACGATGTTCACTTTAGGGAGTTTAACAACACGGGAGCTGGTGCTGCGATGGATAAGAGAGTGGAATTCAGCCTGGAACTTAAGAAGGCGGTGGACATCACGGAGCTCCTGGGCGAGGATTACGAGTCGCAGTGGTGGGTGGACCCGGACTATCTGTAGAGACTATGAATGACACGTCGTGATGACTTCTATTGCGGATAAAAAACTAGATTGATTGACGCTGGGATCCTTCTTCTCTTTTCATGCCATTCTCTGATATTACTTCCGGTACTATAATACAGCCATAGTTTCTGACAACGACCTCACAACCTTCCTTAAGTGGTACGTCTCGTCGACGATTATCTGGTCGGGTATCAGACTCGAGTACGGCGTACTGAACGCTGAATGCGCAGGTGCTTCAGTGGGAGATCTCGACTTTATTTTTCGCACGAACAGCTCCCTCGTGGTTTGATGTCGTTAAGTCCGCATCCAATGGGGGCCACACGCACGTTTTCCAATGGATGACAGAACGTAAAGACGGACGAGGTCCCTGGGAATCAGATTTCTGCTATTAATACGCTTTCGAGCAAGCTGCAAGATACGGACATCTTGACGTCATGAAGTGGATACGATTTCAAACATTCTCCTCATTGGAGAAGACACAGGCCATGACAAGTGCAGCTGCCAACGGACATCTCAACGTCGTCGAGTGGCTAGAAGAGAATGGGGTTGATGGTATTATAGCTATGCTGTTACGGCAGACACAGCTGCACGCTTTGGTCATTTGAAAATAGTCGAAAAGATGTGCGATCGAGTCCTCAGGAACCATCAAGAGAGCATCATGTGCACCGCAGCTTTTGGAGGGCATTTCCATATTCTTGAATGGTTTGTCAAAAATGGTACGCTAACAACGCAATCAACGAAACAGTTCGTGGCGAGCGTTTGGATATTGGAAAATGGCTCTGTGCACGCGGTACGCAACGACTCCCTGGAACTGTTCCGGAATACTACGTGTCGAAATTCTTAAATGGCTGCACACTCACTTTTATATCGGATGCGCCCGAATAAAAGCCCCCTACCGAATAGTGTCCTGTGGGGTGCTACATGCCTGCACAATTAAATACGAGCCCCTCCTGAATAGAGTCCTTATAAAAACTACCAAATTTGCTATTACAAACTTGCTGACCATCCATTCTACAGAAAGAAACACTTTTCCGTCATTTCCAATAATACATCATCAAAGGCAGTCGGTTAGCAGTGGGCGTAAGTAAGCAAGAGGTGATCAAGTGGATTAAAGATGTCGTTTCAAGGACCTACTGAACATGGAAATTAACGCTTGGAAAGAGTCAGACCGAGTCGAATACACTCGCTTTGGTAACACGTATGCCAAGTGTTGTCACCGTTTGCGATTGGGGGCTCCGCGTGGCGAGACACGGATGAGGCAACAATCATGCGGAGCGTTGAAATAGCAGGCTTCTCGAGAGACCCCTCGTCGTGGTTTATATCCAAGCACGATGTGTAAGGCGCAAATTCTCGTGAAAAGGGGTCGAAGGAACCGCATATGGATGAATATACACGTCTTTCCGACAGATAGTTAGGTAGGATTGTGATCAGGCTAGGGTTTGTCAAATTTAAGCCAATTGAATATCTTCATTTTCATCTTTTGGCCAATGGCATCCCATGTGGGTAGGTCTCTTATTCCGACAGCTTCCGACAAATATTTGTCGGAAGCCCAGCCAAAATATTTATGGCTGGATACGAATACTCAGTATAAAAAGTATTTTTTGAAATATTCTTGTCATTCCGACAACAAGGTCCTCCAGTAGGATTCCTACTTCGAAGGAGCAAGTATTAAAGAACGTGTTTAGGAAAATGATAAAATAACATGCCTCAACAAAAACAATTGAAAGAGAAGTAAGCTTAGATACACATGTACATGTACTGCATTATTTTTAAAAATAGCGTCTTTGCTAACCTCTCATTGTGATTCTAGAGGCCTGGGTGTGACGCAGTCTTGTTGCGTAGTCAGGACCACCAGTCACCAAGCAGCAGAAGAAGGTCACGGTAACCAACGTGATGTGTACGACCAACGCACCAGTACGGGCAACAAGCCTGCGCCGGGTATTTCTACACCATTGCCCGGCCAAGTTGAGAATAGTTTCAACCAAAACGATACTGTATTTTTTCCGGTTTCCCAAAAATATAGTTAGCAGCCAAAAATCAAGGTCCAAAGCGAGATTGATTTCATGCAAAGCGATCCAGCCGACGTGCAGCCAAAATTCGACGTGTTCGCGCGCGCGCGAAATCGTGGCGCAAAGCCTCGGCTCGAGGGCGCGCTCCAGGAGCTCACTTCTAATCCTGCCTTGTCCAGCAAAGATGCCCTCCCAAGCCTCCCTCCCCAAGCACTCCGCGGCCGAGAAACTTCGTGTCCTCGACGCCTGCCGCGCTGGAAGGACCGACTGGCTAACGGTAGCCAAGAACAACGGCATCTCCCGGGCCGTTGCGTACCGCATCGTTGACACCGGCCGTGTCAACAATCTCCCCGTGGTGGCGCTTGTCTTGGCGCAACCAAGGTTACGCCGCTGGTGAAAGAGCAGTTGGAGGAGTACTTGAACGAGAACTGCACGTTCACCATGGAGACCATGCGCCGCATGCTTGCGCTGGACTTGGCCGTGGCCATCTCCACGTCGACGATCAGCCGTCACTTGCTGGGGATGCTGTACACGGTGAAGCAGACCCGCGTGGAGCCGACAACCTGCAACATCATCACGAACAAGACGAAGCGTAAGGAGTTTGCGATCAAGTTGAAGCAGCACCAACGCTAAGGTAACTTTATTGTGTACTTCGATGAAACTAACTTTAATGTGTACTGTAAGCGCGGCCGAGGGCGCGCGAAGAAGGGTGACCGAGCTACTGTTGTTCTGCCGCCGTCCAAGGGTGCGAGCTTGCAAGTCCAGTGCACTGTGAACTCGGCCGTTGGTGTCGTTTTGCATCGCCTCAAAAGAGGTAGCATTCGGATGGAGCAGAACGCGGACTTCATCGACGAGATATACGCGACGGTCGAAGCGTCCCAGTACTTCCGCGAGAACTACGCTGGGAAGACGATCGTTGTCGTCTTGGACAACGCCCCCGCCCATCGCCAGACGGAGAAGCGCGTGACGTCCCACGCCGACCTGGAGCCGCTGCGTCTAGCCCCCTACTCGCCGATGTGCAACCCCATTGAGGGTTGCTTATCCGTCCTGAAGTCGCACCTCAAGGACCACCTCGCCTTGGATCGCTCGGAAATTTGCGATCGCAGCGACATGACCGACGCCGACGGCAGCATCCTGACCGTGAAGGAGCGCACGATGCGCTTTCTGGAAAGGGCTGTCCGCGGCAGCATCAAGTACATCACTCCCGCCATCGTCTCGAACATGGAGCTACACGCCCGCGACTCCGTGAACGCTGCCGAGAACATGGTCGACATGGTCTACGGAAAGTAGGCTGATAGTGCTAGTCGAGCTTGGGACCCTCGGCTCTGTCTGTTCGCTTTGCATGAAATCAATATCGCTTTGGACCTTGATTTTTGGCTGCTAACTACATTTTTGGGAAACCGAAAAATTTACAGTATCGTTTTGGTTGAAACTATTCTCAGCTTGGCCGGGCAATGGTGTAGTACATTTACTTGACAGTCCACCTCCACTGCCTTCACCTCGGCATCTTCCACAGTCTCGAACACCGCCTTCATGGCCTCGGTCGCCGCTACGATAGCCACGCCCACCAGCGTCATGTTCGTCTACACCGCCACGGCCTCAGAAATGGCACTGCGCGTTTCCTATTCCACCTCTTCCGCCAGCTTATCTCGCTTCGCTGAATCTCACCGGGAAGCTGCCACTCGCGACACCGCTTCACTCGCTGGAGTAGTCGAGACGCTTAGGAAGAACCATGCTTACATTCTGCACATTCAGCCGAGCTCTGCTCACCCAACGCAGAAGCGAAATCAAAGACCAGCGACACCGCCTGCCTTGTCTCCACTGGAGCCGTCTTGTTCACGAACTCCTTCGTGGCACGAAGTTCGTGCGTAGGTCCAGGCTTCGACGCCGCCACGAGTTCGCCAAAAGATGCGCCACCTCCACGCGCTGCGCCGCATCCCGCGTTCGTGAAATCATCACCACAGAACGACGCCACCGAGAACACCTGCTGCAGACACGTCCGATCCAATCGACGCCAGCGCCGACACAACAAACTTCGTCACGCTCTCCGTGCTAGCACCATCGCGCGTCTCCACGTCGGCCTGCACGCCGTCAAACACTATCGTACTAATTGACTCATGTCGCGCCCGTAAACATCTACGCCCAGTACTCCAACCACACCATCACTCTGTAGGGCGCGCACCGAGCGTGCATACAAGTTGGGCATCAACACCTGCTCCGTCTCGTCCTCCGGTATATCCTCCAGGATCACCCGCTCTACACTCGATTACACGCCACCAGCACGCCTCCCTGTTGCCGCTACCCTTCACGCTCGCTCGCCCGCCGCCGTATATGTCGCCGCTCCGCGCTCTCACCTGCCACCAGCACGCCGCCCTGCCGCTGCTGTCCTTCACACCCGCTCGCCCGCCACCAGTGCCACCGTCGCCGCCGTATCCACCACCCTCCGCACTAGCTCACCCATCAACCGGATGACGCACTGGCGCCGTCGACCGATCCTTCGTATGCCACTCTTTTTAAATTAAAAGTTTAAATAATTTATAACGTTAGATATGATAAGAGATATTTGTTTTATAGTATATGTGGTGTCTGGTACCTGAATCTGCCTGTTGTTCCGAGCTGTCGGAATTGTGTCGGAAAGGGGTAGGGTGTCGGAACGGTTGCGATATGGATGAATATACACGTCTTTCCGACAGATAGTTAGGTAGGATTGTGATCAGGCTAGGGTTTGTCAAATTTAAGCCAATTGAATATCTTCATTTTCATCTTTTGGCCAATGGCATCCCATGTGGGTAGGTCTCTTATTCCGACAGCTTCCGACAAATATTTGTCGGAAGCCCAGCCAAAATATTTATGGCTGGATACGAATACTCAGTATAAAAAGTATTTTTTGAAATATTCTTGTCATTCCGACAACAAGGTCCTCCAGTAGGATTCCTACTTCGAAGGAGCAAGTATTAAAGAGCGTGTTTAGGAAAATGATAAAATAAC